GAGGCATCGAGGTCTGTTCGCAGTTTCATGTTCAGCTCCGAAGTCCAACACCCAATGGCAGTATTGAGTAATTGTGACACTGCCCCTTCTGCGTTTTTCCCTGTGTGGTGTTTCCTCCTCTCCCCCTGTGGTTGTGGTTGGCTGCGTGGTCCCCTTTTCTGCTAAGGACCGGAGCGGAGTTCTCAGGGATCATAAGGCTTTTATGTTGAGGCTTTTCGGTAAGCGGGGCTGTCAAGACACGGTAGCAGTAACAGTTTGAATACGGCTTGGGAGGGCGGGGGGGGGGGGGATACCGTGGGGCAGATTCAAGTTCCCTGAGTGTTGCGAATTGTTGCAATAGCACTCGGTGTGTAAACTCTCGTGAAGACCAAGATGCCCCAGAGCTCCGGCAAAGTCTCGCAAACGCACGAGAAGTACAGAAATGGCATTGCGGTGAACCTTGAACTACCCAAAGACACAACAGACCGAGCATTGGATGTGAAGACATGGTTCCATGTCCAATTGCTAAGGAAGCAACAGCACCATGCACAGTGAAACAGACGGGGCCAGAAGCGGTGTGTCCACGTGCCTCACCAAGGCGTAGGACACATATCCAGCTGGGAGGTACAACGCCAGCAAGGTGAAGCCACGGCAGAGAAGTGTCGCCTTCGGTGAGCAGCTGCACCGGAACTAGCATACAAGCATCTTGTCGTCTGAGCACAGAACCGAAACACAAGCCAGCCACAGAAGCACGCACAGCACGGGTACATGCAGGTTCCACTGCACCTCGAGAGGGACAGTGCAACCAAGCGCAAAGGCTTCCCCATGAGCTTGGCTTCATTGCTAGGGAGATCTAAGCAGCGATCCACGGCGGCCAGATGGGGGAAGTCTTTGCTCCATGTCTTCAGATTTGTAGTAGCTGCCACACGCGAGCAGTGAAGGTTGTTCTTGCCATCGTTGTTGCAGTAGAGACCTGACAAACAAAACAGCTTCTCGTTTCGTTGCAAACATGCCTGAAACCTTGACTTGCTTGCATCAGGACTTGTGCACCGCCTGACAGGTTGTGCACGCGCAGCACACGCGGACATTCAGTTCTCGGGGGCTGCACTCCCATTCCTTGCACAAGAAACTTGAAGGGGCCACCTCAAAGACACACGCAATCCATAGCCGTTTTTGCACGCGATCCACAGCCTGAAGCCCTGAACCCTCAAACTTTTCCGGTGGGAATGTACACCTTGGAACCCTCTTTGACAAAATCTGTGGTCTCCGGCCAAGACCATAGAAAACTGCTTGGCTCTATTGCATGAATACTGGCTACGAAGCCCATCCGGCCATGGTATGGAGTATACCATGGACCGGATTCGAGTGGATTCGAATGCACAATAACCTGGGAGTCAAGACATGCAAGTGGCTTCGAAACCGGTCACAAGCTCAACACATACTGTACAAAATACATGGACATGGATATTCGCATGGACATGGAACAACATGTCGAGCATGTGCACACACATGTACATGCGCACCCATGTGTACGAATACAAGTAAAACCAGCTATTTGCATAATACATAGCTGAGTATAGTTGAGTTCTACTGTAACATAACTACACGCGTCCAGCGCCGCACTTGCATTGCCTCCCAGGAAGAAGGAGGCATGCGGTGCAAATTACGCTATGCAGGGTGGGGCCATTTTAGGCAACGATGTGCAAAAGCTTTCTTGGTGTTATTCGTCCTAGACGCGACAATTGCGGGTTCGGCTTTTGTGAGTCTTTTTGTAAGTCTTTGGCGTACCGACACTGGGCCCGGACTGCGTGGTGCTTCGCTCAGTTCTGCCGCAACCAGCAGCTCTACTTCCCAGTTCTGTGTCGACTATGTTTTGACAGATACTTTTACGTAGTAGCTTGAAAGAACATCACTTTCGAAATGGGAAACTTTCTCCGGCCTGTCATGCACTGTAGCTGACCATGAGCACTCAGCTCCTTCAAGGAATACCTCCCCAGACTTCACAGCAACACCATGCAATATTGTGCGCTGGCCATGTCTACACCCCATGCCTTCGCCACATCTCGCTGGCCTTAATGTTCCTGTACCGCCAGAACTGGCCGTGATGGAAGGAAAAGCCTGTACTGCTGACCGGACAGTGATGTGATGTGAGAAAGCTTGCCGGCGGATGTCGAGTCGACAATCCTGTACACCAGACACCGTTTACACCATGACGACCGGCCTTCCAAATTTGCAAACCTCTCGCGTGCAAAGATCAACTCTGCCCGGAGCTCGCGCAACTCGGAGACGTCTTCAAGCACATCCTTCTGTACGGCTCCAGATTAGTTGCAAACAGGTGTGCGACAGGTCAGCTAAAGCTGATGCGGTGTCGCCTCTTCGGCAGCCAGTACAACCAAGCGCGGCGTTGCTCGTCTCAAGCTTGTGGGCAACACCGCGCAAGAGCAGTTTGGATAGGAAGAACCAGGGCCACAAGGAAAGGGCTCCTTGCAAACCGAACCGCATCAACTCAGTGCGCAGCAAAGTGTGCATGAGAGACCGAGGTCCTTTATTGAATCCACAGCACAGGCTTTACACTCATCTTGGACTCTCACGATGTACCGGAACTCAGACCTTCGCTTCATGATTTTGAAAATGCGCACGATCACAACTCAAGCGCAGCAACAGCTATGGCTATGGTGAAACCAAAAGGGTATGAAAGCATTGAACCTCCGTGCATGACCAACAAATAAGATCTATGTCATGAGTGAAGCTGGGGCACAAGAGCGTCGAAGGCTGCACGGACCGAACCACTGCTCGTACCCACTTACCTCTGAAAGGTAGTGGCAACAGCGAGCGTCGCGCCCCGCAGTCGATCAAGTCGCTGTCAACCCTCAGCTCCATGCTGGAGCAAGCTCGAATCTCATTTTCAATCACACAACAACCCCACTCGGGGCCTGACAGAACCTCGACCTCCTCGCCTACGCTCACATCAGTCACCTGGAGCCCGCAGGCTAAAAGTCACATCTCGCGAAAGGATTCTCGCATCGCTGTGCAAGCTGAGATCGCAGCTTGCAAAGAGGGGGACAGATTGAAATACAAAATGGCCAGCAATCGACCCACTGCATACAAGTCAGGCGAGCCGAAGTCCAAAGAAGCCTGTTGTTCAATCGAAACAAAAAGCGCATGGCCGCAATGTACTCTCCTGCACACCAGCTTTACGGTCTGCACAAACAGCCCTGCCAAGAAACCATTTTCAGCTTCCATGTGCCATCACACATGTCGAACCAGCTCCATGAAGGCAAGTCAATGTTGAAGCGATTTTTGCCTGAAGCACTGGGAAAAACAACTCGCATGTCAGGAGTCTCTCCTCTGGACCATCTGTGGAAAATTCTGGGGAGACAATCTAAAAATCGCAATACTTCAAAAGTGTGCCGCATAAAACAAGCCTAACTGACTTCAAACATACAAAGGTTGCGGATGACATTTTGGGACAATCTCAGGTTTTGCCGAATCTCCCAGGGATCGGAAGATGTCCGAACATCTACAGGTACCAAACCAGCAACAGCAAGTGTAACAACTATAACGTCGAAATAATCTCAGTAATCCCAAAGCATGAGAAGAAAACAGAACGCTTTGATGATGGCTTTTTGGAACCGTTACAGACCTTTGCAACAACATTTGTAACAACGTTTGCAGCAGCAGCAACAACAACAACATTCATTCACACGCAGCGGGAGACGATATCCTTGGGTGAAAAGCTTCCTCGCTTTGCGAGTGTTCGACCTATTTTGCTCTACTTTCTGATGTTAACGTTAGCCAGTCTCAGTAGCGCTGCTGGCCGTGCCTCAGCCCTGCGCCAGCATACGTCCCGCCTCTGAAGGCAGCAGACTGCGTTTCTGAGAGGCTTGAAGGCGCATGGCAGGGATGGCAGACGATGTGGTCATCTGTGCTGCTGCTGACAGTTCTTTTTCGGGAGTCAGCCATAGCGTCTCAGGCCTCCTTGTGTCTAGGCTACTCTGCTCGAGGAGCATCCCCTCTGATCACGATCTCTACATTGAAAAGAAGCCTGCTTGGCAACTGCACCCTTAAGGTGGGCAACTCCGATGCATAAGTGTTTGATTCCACCACGGCTCCTGCTGAGTTCGGCGTGGAATCTGCTGCCGATGACGGTGCTGAGGTAATAACTTCAACTGTTCCCGTGCCGCCATGTGTGAGCATAGTTGGCGCTGCCTTCGCTGGAGCTGGTCTTTTTGGGGGAGGGACTCCACCCATCCGTTCAGCTGTTACAGAGGGAGGTAGATTGACCGGCTTCGGGGGCGGAGGTCCTGCTGGTGGTTCCGAGGTAGACCTAGGAGCACCCATCACGATATTGCGCCCTGTAGACGGCGCCTTCGCTCCTCTCGTCATCTGAGTCTTCGATTTCGTCACTGGACAGGCTAGCACGTCTTGCTCTTCCCGTTCTTCTCACTGGTGGTGGGGTTCTGGACGCGTCGCGATCTGATGTTCTCTTCGGTGTTTCCGCCATGACTATCGGACTGAGCTCTTACTTGAACCTGAAGAAGTCCGCACGGCCCTGAGTCCTTGCAGTTAACAAAGCACGACACTACCCCTAGTGGTTCTGCCTTTTTTCGCTGCTTTTTGACAAGTTAGCCTTTGGGGAGGGTCTCCTCCATTCTGAACAAGCTACGAGGGAGATTCTCCACTCGAAAAAAAGATACAAGTCTGGTGGGACTACCTTGACAACCTTTGGCAAACCGAAAGCACTGAGCTAAACAATGAGAGCTGGAAAGGTTAGAAAGATGTACTCCTGCTGGGGAGTTACTCCACCTAACGGTCACTACCGGGAGTTACTCCTCGAATTTGTTGTTAGATACGCTTAGAGAGGTGAGCCCCACCTATCGTACTTAGCTTGGTCACGCAAGCTTTGAAAATATACAATGGCCTCCGGGGGAACGTCTTCAGCCGTGAGAATAACGCCGTTCCTGCTTCGCAGGAAGCGAACTCCCATAGAGAAAGCCGTTCTTGTGTTGATGGCTACCGCCATCGTTGCACTGGCCCGCATGCCGGATACTACTGCCTCTTGGCTGCTTCCCGAGGTCGTAAAGTGGACGTGTTTCCGCCCTTCTCCGCCTTTGACGCCTCCCTTGCCTTTAAGGCGGCACTGCGGCAGTAGCCCGGACGAACGTATAGAGTCATAGAGCCTCCATTGAGTTCCATGAATGATTTCTTCGGGGAGTTGCTCCTCCGTAAGTACTTCCAGGACGGCTTCGTCATCAACGTCCGTTCTGGAGTGCCCCTGGACCGCTCTCACGTAACGACACCCATCAGTTGCACTGCGCCCCATCTCAAAGCGACTCTTTTCGTTGGAGCGTACAACTTCCATGAGGTCTCCCGCTGTTGCTTGCTGATCCCGTATCCTTGGCCACTCTAGGAGATCCACCACTCTGGCCCACCCCGCAGGGGTTATGGCGATATGCGGTTTATGTCCATGGCGTAAGCAGGCCGAGAGAGATTTTGAGATTGAGGTTGCATGGGAGCTTTTGGGATTCGTGGAGTCTTCCCGAAACGCTCCCAAGCTCCCAACGTCGCCTATCCAGTGCTGTATGTCATCTTCTACGTGCTGTACCGTCTTTACTAGAGTGGGATCTCCTGCTGCTGTACCTTGTGTTGAGGGAGATACTCCACTCTTTGTCTCAGGGCGAGGAACTCCACCCTTCCTCTCTTTCAAGGGAGTGTCTCCACTT